CCCCAAAACCCCAAAACCCCAAAACCCCAAAACCCCAAAAATCGTAATATTATAAATAAAAATGGGACTTTTAAGATCCGATGATATGTACTTCTATCTGTTTACATGATTCAAAGATAATGCTATGAAAGCAGTTGAGAGATTTGGAAACCTAGAGAGCATCCAGTTCATTGACCTGAATAGAGGAGAGCAAACATTCAACCTACCCTACGGCCATCAGATCAAAAGATGTGAGGAAGCTCTCAGAGATCTCATGATTCTTACAAGAGAGTGTAGAAACTGGGATGTCCATCTAGAAGGCCCTGCTAATATTGAGGAGATGGAAGATTGTATTAGGCGTATTGAGAAAGAAGCAGGTCAGACAAACAGCGCTCTCTTCGACGACATTGAAGAAGAGGTCCAAGATTGTAGAAAATGGAAGGAAGATACTTTGAAATCTTATCATGTGGCTAAGGATGACCTTATCTCCCTCATCATGGCAAGAGAGGTTTATAAAATGGGAAGAGAGAAATATAAAGTTGTAGTTGAAAACCAAGAGAAGAAGCTGAATGAAGAAACTAAAGATAAAGATACACTCAAGGAACCCCTCCTTGATGATAATATTGATAGTGAATACGGAATGATCTCTACATGCAATATTGCGGGTGTAATTGATACTGAAGACTCAATGAGACTAAGAAGATTAGTGTTCAGAGCCACAAGAGGAAAAGCAATGGTGATAACTGAAGATATTCTTCCTGAAATTTTCAAAGAGGAAGGAATTTCGACTTCAAAAACAAAGTATTTGATAATATTCCAAAAGGGAGATTTCCTTCAGGAGAAACTCAATACAATTTGTTCAAGTTTCAATGGGGAAAAATATGATCTTCCTGATCCAAAGAGATCTCAGGATGCAATTAATGAGCTATCATCAAAAATAGAAAAAGCACGAGAAATGATCAACACAATCTCGAAAGAAATTAAGGAATATTTTATTTCAATGAATTTCATAGAAGACTCAAACTGTGATAAATTCAAAATTTATGAGGCTTTTATTCGGCGTGAAATCATAATTCATGGTACTTTGAACAAGTTGGTACCCATAGACTCGTTGATCCATGGCTTCTTCTGGTGTAACTTGAACAACGATGCGCTACAAGAGAAGATAGATGTAATCCAATCAACTTCCAGATTCCCAGGTTTACAAGTGGTAGAAATCACTGATAAGAATCAGTCAATCAGTAAGAAGTTGATCCCTCCAACTCATATTAAAAGTAATGAGTTTTTAGAAGCTTTCCAGCAGATTGTGAATACTTACGGAGTTCCCGCTTATCAAGAAGTGAACCCCACCTATTTCACTATTATCAGCTTCCCATTTCTGTTCGGAGTCATGTTTGGAGACATTGGACATGGACTTCTGTTATTCCTGTTTTCGAGTTTCTTATGACTAAAGAGTGACTCACTGGCAAGATCAGATTCGTTCTTGAAGGCTTTCCTGCCAGCGAGATATCTACTTCTCTTAATGGGATTCTTCTCTACATTCTGTGGGCTTTGTTATAATGATATGATGTCGATCCCTCTTGAGATCTTCGGAGGCAGTTGATACGATAACACTCCTACAATTGGAGTTCAGGATTGAGTGTATCCAGTCGGAATTGACCCAAAGTGGTATAGAAGTAGCTCCTCCATTACTTTTATTAACTCTATGAAGATGAAATTGAGCGTCATCATTGCAGTATCACAGATGGCTCTTGGCATTTGCATGAAGGCATTGAATGCTATTCATTTCAAGTCAAAGCTAGATTTTTACTTTGAATTTTTGCCGCAAATCGTGTTGCTTCTGGTTTTGTTTGGATATATGGATATTCTAATCATTGTCAAATGGCTTAGTAATTACACAGGTGAGGAGCATATGGCACCATCTATCATCAACACTATGATAAACATTCCCTTGAAGGGAGCAATTATAGAAGGAAGACCTTTCTTTGGAGATATTCAAACAAACCAATCGTTGAGCTTGATCCTCCTTCTAATTGCTATTGTCTGCATCCCTCTGATGTTATTCCCAAAACCAATCATTCTAATCTGTGGTCTTGAGCACGAAGAAGAGCATCATAAGCCTTCCTCCTTGAAGGACGCCCAGAAGGAAGCAAAAGAAGGTGCATACGTCAAACTTGAAGATGAGAAGGAGACTCCTGGCCAACACGATGAGGAAGAGAAGGCTGAAGATGCAGAGGGAGATAATGAAGAAGGTTGTGATGAAGCAGAGAAGAAAAAGATTCAGGATGCTCTAGCTATGGATGATGTAAATATTAAAATCCCACTAGAAAAAGAGACTGATTCACAAAAACTACAAGCAAAGATAGATGCCCTCCCAGATGGAAACGCTTCTTCTCATTCTCCTAGTGAGATTTTTATCCATCAGTTGATTGAGACTATCGAGTTTGTGCTAGGTACTATCTCTAACACTGCAAGTTATCTCAGGTTGTGGGCTCTTTCATTAGCACATTCCCAACTTGCAGAGGTATTCTTTGAGCTTGTTCTATGGTCAGGAGTCGAAGCTCAGAGTCCAGTCATGATTTTTATTGGATTCATTGTCTTTGCTACTGCTTCATTTGCAGTCCTGATGTGTATGGATTTAATGGAGTGCTTCCTTCACACCCTAAGACTTCATTGGGTTGAGTTCCAAAACAAGTTCTACAAAGGAAATGGATCGCTCTTTTTGCCTCTTAGCTTCAGATCCTGCATTGTCCATACTGACCAGGGAGAATAGGAGAATTCTTTCTCAAGAATTTCTGGGGAAGGATTTTTCTTGTGATTAATTATTATTCACAAAAATCAAATTTGTATTGTTATATAGGGGTTTTGGGGTTTTGGGGTTTTGGGGTTTTGGGGTTTTGGGG